GGAGGTCAGGGCTTCAACATGTGAATCTTGGAAAACACAATTCAGTCCATAGCAGCAGGTTACTTAACATCTCAGTGCCTACATTCCTTAGCTGTAAAAAGTTGGTAATATTAGTAATAGAAAACGGTTTTTGTGAGGATTAAATGAGTCGATATACAAAAACCCTTTGAAGAGAACTTGACGCATAGTAAGTGGTACACAAGTTTGATTATTATTGACCATATTTTAGCAAGTTTCTACTAGGGAATTCTAACTTCTTAAAAATATGTATACAAATTACTATTAATCAGGGTTTTTCAACCTCACTATTATTGACATTTTGGGGCCTGATATTCTTTGTTGTGGGGGCTGTGCTGTGCATAGTAGATGTTTAGCTGCATCCTTGGCCTCTACCCACTAGATCTTAGTAGCACCTCCACTCCTACGTGTGACAACCACAAATGTTTCCAGATACTGCCAAATGTCCTCAGTGAAACAAAGTCACCCCTGGTTGAGAACCACTGCTATAAATCTATCAAAGACACAAAAGCAGCTACGTAAATTTATAGTTTCCAATATTAAGTCATTTTGAAAATTTAAGAAATTCTTATAAAACTTAAGGAATAGGAAACTATGTCAACAATTCTTTTTATAGCAATATTGAGGTGCTTCATATAATTTTGGATCAATAATGGAAATCTTCTGTTCTGTAATATACAATATGGAAGCCACTACCACGTGACTATTGAGCATTTGAAATATGGCTAATATATCTAAGTAACTGAATTTTAAATTTTAATTAAGATGTATTTTTAAACGGCCACATGTGACTAGTGGCTACACTACTGGACAGCACAGATCTGTATCCTTTAAGAAAAAAATGATTGTTTTTTTCTTCCTCAATAAGATCTTTTTGTCAGTGGGCAGACCCCACCTGCAACTCCCACTCGTCCTATATAGAGTGCATATACGTACCACTTACTACATATTGTTAAATAAAATAGAAACAGGTTTTCATAATCCATACACGAAATGGTCCTTGTAGTCAAAATACTACATATGCTGCAGGTGAATGTGGTATTTCCCAGAGCACTGTCTTCGCAGAAGGTTCAGTACTTCACACTGCAATTCTGTTGTAAAGCTAACATCTAACAGATCCTGCAGTCTCTGAAGATAAAAGAGTTACTTTCATTAAAATTCTTTCTAGTATTATGGCAAAGCCTCATATACAGTAGGCATGTAATAAATAATACATTTTTACTATTACATAAATATATAATATTAAAAATATATAATTTCTGTAAGAGTAGAAAAAGCAGAGCTAGAGTTAGTATGGCAGAGGTTAATCTACCATGAAGGAATAATGTAAGAATCACCACTAAAGAGTTTAAGTCCCGATAAATGTACATAGTTGGCAGGCATTTCCTTAGAGACTAGGATAAAATGCAAACAGCATAGAACATTTCACCTGTGTTGAGGTAAGTTACAAGAGGTGTTTTTTTTTTTTTTTTGAGACAAGGTCTCATTCTGTCACCCAGGCTAGAGTGCAGTGGCATCATCATAGCTCACTGCAACTTAAAACTCCTGGGCTCAAGCAATCCTCCTGCCTCAGCCTCCCGTGCACCACCACACCCAGAAAATTTTTCTATTTTTAAAGTAGAGACAGGGTCTCACTCTTGCTCAGGCTGGTCTTGAACTCAAGCGATCCTCCCGAAGTGCTAGGGTTACAGGTGTGAGCCACCATGCCTGGCCTACTTACTTTTCTTGTCTATTCGACTTTAAAGGAACACTTATAAATTTTTTTCTGATCCTAAAGGCTTCTACACTAGCTCTGGTTAGAACAGTTTTGAGCTTATTCTTTAGATCTAAAAGCCTTGGTCAGGTGAATATTCACCAATCCCATGTGTGTTTTAGGTATTAAACACTAATTCAAGAATTGTTCACACCTCTAGAGTAAATACACACTGATCAGCAAGATTTGGCTCTATGTACTCTTTTTAAGATAGCAGCCATTCAAAAATCTGAACTCTTATGCCTTTTAAATAAGTTATTTTATGTCTGGGTCATTTTAGTATGTTTTTGGGAGACTGTGGCATCAAAGTATACACAGTAAGTGCTCGTACAAGCACTTAGCCAGTGCTCCAAAGCCAGTACTACCTCTAAAGGGGATGTTTTGGAAATGTGAGCTTTTTTGAAATGGCACAAAGATTGATGGCAACACTTGCTTTTAATGAGTGGAAGGAATGGAAGTTTGATGTCTTGACAAGTATGGGACAGTCCCACCTGATGAAAGATAGATGAACATCCTGCATGACTCTTTTAGTCCATTCATGTAGTAGAAAAATCTGTTTACAATGATCTGAGTCTAGAACCTAACTTCTTTTTACATATAAACAGGAAGTATTTTTTTGCATGGTTTTATAAATTCATTGACATTTCAGAGTATGCAATTAATGTACAAGTGAAAATTGTACATTGTTTTGTTCAGCACAATCCATCATTTTGGGGGAAAAAAGTCCTATCAATGGAAATGCCCCTCATGTTTCTGAGTCACTACATCAGTCTACATTGTTGCTGTCCACGTCACGATTGCTTGCGCGCACGCGCGCGCGCACACACACACACACACACACACACACACACACACACACACAGCATCAGCCTACTTCATTATGTCTTCTGCCCAAGTATTTACATAGTGAAATACAATTGAATTATAAATTCCTTTCATTTCTATTTTATATAATTATGTATACTTTAATTATGTGTGTAGGAAATACATTTATGAATTTTACTTCATTGTAAAGAGGACACAATATTCTCTATAAAAAGGAAGAAATGGGACTGATAGGGTAAGATTTACTGAATTAGATGGCAGCTGTAATACAGGAATGCAATTTGCATAGATGGAAATTTAAATAGCTAGAGATAATTACTGTTTGTTTCTTAATACACTAGTAAAAGAAACATCATTTAATCAAATGGAAAGAAAAACCTCTTCAATGCTTAACTTTTGTGTTGGAACCCATAATTAAATGTCACAGTATGTCCTTTCTGATGAAACAGTATGTACTGAACTTTCAGACGGCTATGCGGATGGGTTGCTATCCATCACCCCACGATGAGTAGGATCAGTGCTGCTTTGTCCCAGTCCCTCCTCCTCTTCTACCCTCAGATGCTGATGTGTAACATAAACAGAGCTTTGTTAGGTGGTGGGGCTGTTGTTCTGCTGTGTGGAAAATCTAATTATCACCACCATTCTCCACACTGCATTTACATGCCTTCATACTGACAGTAACCCGACACTCTTACTACTTCCTTCTTCACTACAAAGTCAAATATTTGGTTCACGTCTTATGGACACAACCTTTTAAAAAGGTCAAAGAGCTACTAACACAGTTTATTGCACAATGATAAACACATTCAAATGGCCAAACATATTTGTATAATTAATCTTCTCAGCACCTACAAAGACAACTATGAAAAAACATACAATAAAACATTTCCAGAGAAATCTGATAAAGTAGCCAATATGAAAGTATACAGAATTTTAATTGTTACCTTTAACATTCTTTTATGTATCCATATCCTTCAGATTTAGAAGGATCCAGAATGGCAAATTGAATCAGCAGATGTGAATAGTTAAGATTTTAAGGTTTTGGGCGGGCGCG